ACGGGCACAAAAAGAATAGCTATAAAATGAGGTAACCCTAGACGAAGCCAAAGGTCATTCTAAGAGCAACGCCTGGGTTGTCCCTTACACAATTTGCCTGACTCGATGCTTGATTAAAAAATACCAGAACAGCAAATAATCGATGCTTCGATGCATTCGGTTTTAAATAGCTTTAAATAGAAGAGAGCAGAAATTCCTGGAATCAAATTGTGGCCATAATGAACATCTTGAACACCTTGGCTACTGCACCTGGCCCGAACAAAATTAGGCTAATTACATAACCGTCAGAGTTGAAAACTGTATTATGCAAAAAGTTGCTAAAAGCGGAAGCCTTTAGATAAAACATCGTTTAGTGCGAAATAGTTCTTAGTTACGCAGTAATTTCTCCTCCATTGAACCAAACAATCTATACGGCAAGCATTTCCCTGAAAATCTCGAAGCTCAAAGAGCTTTTCCGGCGCAATTCAGTCTTGCATATGCCCCAGAATTCTGACATTTTCAGAAATTCTTCTCATTTACCTATTGTAGTTATGTTTTGCACATTTAAAGTTAACTTTGTTTTCTGTTATTTTAACTTAAATCTGCTAGGAAAATATTTTGAATATTAAATATAGTTGTTACTTTAAGTGCCTAAAATCTTGAGTTAAGATATAAACAAAATGGAATACATAAATAGACAACATTCTGCATTGAAAAGAAAAAGCTTTAAAGAAACTTCAGTACTTGTTACTCGCACCTACAATTTTTAGTTCTTACTTTAAGTATTAAACACCTTGGTTAAAGATGTCTAAACGTAGAAAGTTAGCTTACAACTAAATAGTTGAGTCTATTAGCTCTATAAATAAAGCAACTCTTGCTTACTTTTATTGTGAAACATCCTCAAAGACATATAAAACAAGACAAAATATAAATAAAATCGAATTTTGAAGAAGTGGAAGCAGAAATATTCTTCTTTTAAGAGTAAGTTTTGCTTTTCACTCTCGAGTTGACCCTTTGACAAAGTTTCTACTTGATTTTAGCACAGAATTCTTGATTTCTTTTTCTCTATGTCCACCGTTCGTTATCTGCAGGCATTGCATAATATCTAAAGCAAAAGAAAAATAAGAACAAATACATGGACAATTTTCAATCCAAATGACAAGCATGTTGCGTTACGTTATCGTATCGAATTTGAGGCAAAAGTTTTCCTTATCAGCAAGAAACTAACAAGTTTTCGGATTCAACAAAAGTTGCCTTACCACGAAAACAAAAATAACTACAACAACAACGAAAAATAATAACCTGCAGCTACTTTTGAGGTAATAAGCAGCAAAGAAAATTTGTAATGAATTTCCTTTTAATCAAACATTTAAAACTTTTTAATAAACAAAATAAAATTAAACTGAGTAAAACGAAGAAGCGAACGAAACTTTAGACTCTGCGTGTGTTAAGGTCCAAGGGTCGAAGTGCACTTAAATGCAGGTCACTTGCTACTACATGAGGGGGGTGGGGAAGGGGGAAGTTGGGCAACATTCAAGACGGCGGCAGGCGAAGCTTTAAGCTTTTGCCTCAATTTTCTATTTCTCAAAAACCAAACAAAATGAATTAAATGAAAATACATAGAAGATATGAGTGCGATTGACTCGAGAGAGTATACGACTTGTGGGTACCCAGTTTAGTTGCAAAGATCTATTTCAATATTCACCACACGTGGTGGAATACAAAGGAATAGTTTCTAGCAAAGTTTTATATGCATCAAATCAAGTGGTTCTGCAATATGCCCTTCTTCGCGTACTTACAGGGTATAAATAAAATATTGTGTATTCGTTTAGAAAGTTTCTGGACACATTTTGGCAAACGAGCCAAGTCGTAGTTTGGTTATATTAATGGTCAAGCGTCAAGCAGAGAACCCGAGGGCGTGGCCGGGGGCCGCCAATTTTTAGCTGTCAGTCGCAGCCGCAAAATACAAAGAAAAACAAAAAAAAGGAACAAACAAACATGAAAACCTGTAAAGGTAAGTGCAAACAACCAAACACAATTCAGATGCGATTTTGTGGAAATGTGAATAAACTTTTGGAATAACGCATCTCGGAAAAGTGTCTTGCAGTAAAACCGTAAAAATGCTGCAATAGTTCAAGTTTTTCATGGCGTTGCATATTTTAACCACAAAGTTGCAGACAAAGTACTTAGTATCAATGTGGGCATGTGTGTGTGTGTGTGTGTGTATGTGTGCTATGCTTTTGCTTACCTGTTCATTGTGCGGCGCACTGCAAATTGCAACACAAACAACTTTAATGAAAACGACGACGCGGCGGCTACAAAACTGCTGCGAAAACAACAACACAAACAAAAAAACAAAAAACAAAGTGAGCAACGCGCAAAGCTTGCAGCTTGCGGGCGGCGTATTGTGTATATGTGTGCGAGAAAGAGATGCAACTGGATAAGTTGCCCTGCGACTTGCTGTAATTATGCTTCCATTGGCGCTGCCGCTAGAGTTGTAATTTCCGGTTCAGTTCACTGAAGCAGTTCACTAGTTCTTATTTTATTGAGCGAAAATATCGTTCACGATCGTTCTTTTGTGCATTTATACTCCATTTTTGTTTAGTTATTTATTAATACCGCCCTTTAACCATTTTTGTGTTTATTTTAATTTTTAATTTCTCTTTGTTTTGAAGTTAATTAAACTTGTCCAGCTCAGAGTTCAAATGAACTGAGTCTGAACGATTCGGCACAACTCTGTCTGCTTCTGCAGCTGCGAGTCGCCATGGTAGACACGTGAGTAAATTTGTTGTAGTCAAGTTGATGTCTCGCACAATGGAAAAGAAACAAAAAAAAGCAACAAAAACAGCAACAACAACAACAACAAAAAGCAAAAGTTCACTTTCACTGCAGCTGTAGTTGTAATTTGTAATTGTTGTAATTTTATTCAAGTTGCGCGTGCAAATAATAACAACAGTTGGACACGCAATGCAATTACAGTTAGATCTACGCTGCCGCTTGTGCTGTCTCGCTGCTGTAAATTGCTGTTTTTTTCTGGCACGTAATATTTAATTAACATTGCAACGGCAGCAAATGCCAGTAGCAACAACATCAGCAACAGCGCTGTGGGGAAGTCGGTCCAGTCGGTAGTCAACTTCTGTTACCCTCCCTGCGGCTGCTGTTTGTTGTTGTTCTTGTTTTCGTTGTAGGTTGTTGCCTCAGCGTTTCTTTTTTAAACGAAAGCGACGCGTTTAGTTTTTGACACAACAACTAAAACACGACGATCATTCGTTAAATTTCGCTCACTCTCTCAGTTTGTTTGTTGCTTACGCTCTCTATACAACACTGTGCGCAAACTCTCTGACGCGTCGGCGTCGACGCAGGTAACTCAGTTGTTGCTTGTTCTCTTTCCCTCTCACACACACACATGCGCAGCCGCAAACAGGTAGTTGGAGACACTCACACAAACGCAACGAAGCAGAAACGAATACGCAAGGCGTCGCGTTTTTTATTGCTTGCCGTTGCTTTTTCTTTCGTTTATTTTTGCCAAACGACGTCACAAAGTTTTAAGCTGTAGCTCAATTAATTTTAAGTATAACTTTTATAAAGATCGTTTTCATATTTATATCATATTCTCACTGTGCACAATTTGAATTGGTTAAAATTTTCGTTTCTTATTTGTTGTTATTGTAACTCTGCCCGCAGACGACGCGCCGCGCGCTGCGCTCACATCAAAAGTCGTTAGTCAACTGAAATTGAAGTTGCAGCGACAGCGACGGCGACGGCGACGTCAATGGCTGAGCCAGAGCGTCAACGTCTTGGACGACTGAGCGTCGTTAATGGTCAGCGCTTCACAGTTAGACGTTTCTCAGTTGCCGCTCTCAGCTGGTGTTGTCGTCGGCGTCGCCATTTCGTGGAACTGTGCAGCGATTAAAAAAATGCCGACGATCGTTTCTCTTAAGCTTTTACCATTATTTACATATAGTATTTTTTGCTATCGCAGCGAAGCTATGCTCCAATGGCGGCCGGGTTGGCCTTCAAAATATACATACATACATTTGTATGTAAATAATATATTGAAATCAAAACTGTTTTTCCGCGGAAGTCGCTGATAAAGCTAAGAAAACTAGTTATCAGCGTGGAGTGTAAGGGGTATGGAATATGGCACAGATAAGGGGGGGGGGGGGGGGGGGGGGGACTAATAAAATAACGATATGTGTTATGAACATTAATTCTGTGCACACTCAGAGAAAACCCAAGTACTAAATTTTAAGGGAAACGGTTCTGAATTAAAAAATTGTTCGTCTTCTTGAAAATTTTGCAAAAAAGCACTTAAAAGTACCCAATTTCAAAATTGATCGCTAATGTTATAAGATTTAAAAAAATGTCTTAAATTGAGAGAAAATAAAACAGAATAAAAGAATTTGCACGCATAAAATAAAATGTTCTTAAGTGTTTTTCTTGGTGGAGTATTGAAGAATTTCGGGATTTATATTTAATTAAAATAAGCTAAGAAATTGATGAGAACTCAATTCTTGGGATTTTTTTTGTTTTTTTTTTTTATCATTCGTCGAGTGCAGCATTCTGTTGCCCGTTTTGATTTCTTATTTTCTTTTGATTCATTTAAGCAGCCCCCCTGCCACCCACTTGTGCCCCTTTGAGCTGCTGAGGCCTCTGGGGCATCGTGTTTATGCGGAGTCAGGAGTCCGAGCGAGAGCTTAAGTGCGCATTTGAATTTCAATCAGGCCGCCGCAGCCGACTCTGCTGCTGCTGCTGCAAAATAAATAAACCGTTGAGCCCGCTGCTGCTGCTCTTCCTGGGATTCTCCGCCAGTTGCCAATAAGATCTGCCTCAACTTGGCAAAGGCTGCTTTATCGATGTGGCACACGTGTCACGTTGCTGCTGCACTGTATTTATAGTAGGGCGCGTGTGGTTGGCGTCAATCCTTAACTTAACACGATGCTCGTGCTCGTGCTCATGTCGAGCACGCGCTCCTCTCTAGCTGTCACCAAATGGCAAATTCCCGCCTCGCCCCGCACCCATCACTTACCATTAATGATTCTGGTCAGCTTGTTGCGTCGCGTTGAGGACGGACTGAGCATGCTCTCGCGACGGCTGTTGGCGGCGCTGCTGCTGCTGCTGCAATTGCCGGGCTGAGGATGTGCCGCCAGGTCGCCGTAATTGACATTCAGCTGGGCGTGCACTTGCCCGGAGGCGGCCGTTGCGGCGGCAATGCTGCTGCACGTGGAATACAAGCTGCTGGCCGAGGGGCGTTTGCTGAAGGGTGTGGGCGCTGCTGCTGCTGTTGCTGCCACATTGCATGGGATGGCCAGAGTGGGGCGTGGTAGGTCGCTAAACACAATCTCCGCAAAGGAATCAATGCTGGCCGAGCGTTGCAACGCGCTGCTGTCCTTGCGCCTGCAAAAGGGATAGGAATTTAATATAAGTGGCAGCAAGTGTCAAAGACCGGGCTAAGCTGCAGCTGGGGCAGCAGCTTTGAGCTGTTGCAAGTTGTTGACAACTTGTAAACTATCGCAATTACTTCAGCTTCACGCTACCCTGGACATTTTAATGACCATCAAGTGTCGCCAACCCACTCTGTTGCGGTCACTGGCCCGGCCTAGTTACCATTAGCATGACCATTAACATAATGCAGACACTGTTTTATGGTCAAAGAGAAAGCCTTGGGGTCTGCCCCGGCTGCTGCTGCCAGCTGGCGCTAATGCCACGGCTAATGTGCTGCTGCCATTGATGTGTCCATTCTGGCCGAATACTCTTTTTTTTTTCTCTCTGTGCGGCACGCTTCCAACTTTATGACTTGCAACAACGCATTGCCCCCAAAAGTGGTCGCAAAGTTGGACGCAAAATGCAATTCTGTGAATTTTAATGGATTAATGTGACAGCGGTGTGTGTGCGCGCAATATGAAGATAACGTGGCCAATGACCTCAATTGTTGGCCCAATTGGCAAACAAGAATATCAAGACAATATTGTCCTCATATTCACAGAATCTCTCGCTCTCTCTGTCTCTATCTCTTGCTTTGTCTCTTTCTAACTATAACTCCGAATTCCATTTTGAAGAACTCTTTTAATCTTGAAACCCTTTAACAATTAACAAAATGTGTGAAACACTGACGTAGTGATTGACCACATGACTGACTGATTGATTAACTGAACGATTGGCTGAATAACTGACTGATATGTTGACTGGTGAGCTGAATGACTACTTGATTGACGAACTGAACTGACTTAGAGAATGATCAAATGATTGGTTGATTGACTGACTTACTGAATGATTTTGTAAATGGTTGACTGACTAAGTGACTATCAAAACCGACTGGTTGACAAACTGAATTGCCGCTTGATTGACCAATGGAATGATTGCATGTTTGACCAATCGAATGACAGATTTACTGGTTGATCAAATAATTGTTTGATTGGCTGAATGCCTATATGACTGGCAGGCTAACTGAATAAAAGACTGACAGATTGGCTAACTGCTTATCTGCCTAAGCCGACTGATTGATTGACTAGATGTATGACTGACTGATTGGTAGGCTAACAGACTAATTTACTCACAAAACAGACTTGTTAATAGACTGATGACTGATTGATTAACCAACTGAATGACTGCCAAGAATGAACGGCCAATCAGGCCAACAGAATTACTGCCTTACAATTCCTGAATTGATTCGAGTCGGACAGATTGACTTTCTTTATTACTAACTGACTGACTGATTATGAGAATTATTTATTAATAGATCAACTGAACTTCTCATGGAACACATAATTGACTAAGTGACAGCTTGACTGATTGATTAACTAAACGACCGACTGCTTTACTAATTGACTAAATGAATATCTTACTGACTAATGCGCTGTCAGATTGAGCAACTAACATTTAAAATTTAAAGAGCAATACGTAAACCACGCAAAGTTATACTTCCTAGTTTATATCCAAAAAAAAAGCTTGTGTTCTACGAATGTCTCTTGCCGAGAAGTGTGCGCAAATTCTCAAACTCCGTGCGGAATTTATTTTTAAAATACTCCAGACTTCCTAATGCCGCTTTACTAGGAATTTCTTTGTTATGCCTAATAGAGCCCCTGCCCCCATAGACATAATCAATTACGAGCAATAAAATATTTCTCTTTGTTTTTCCGTTCTGTACAACTCAATAGTACTCAGACTTAGAGGGCGCCTAATCATTTGCAAAACAATCGACGCATTTTACTGAACTGTTTCTCGGAATTTGAAAATCTAAACTCCCTATTGGGCATGAAATTTGAAACTAAGTTCAATGGAATAACAAGGAAAAGTGCTCGCGCTGATGATGCCAGACTAGGAGAGTCCGGGTGCTCAGCTCCACAACATGCATTTGTAATTTATATGCGCATGGAGCACAGGGAGGTTATCAAAATAATTTTATTCTTCAATAATATTCATATTTACAAAGCGATACCAGGATTTATGATGGAATATGTACATATACCAAAAATGTGGGGAAGGTTAGAGGTTAACAGAGGGGACTGGAGGTTTTCATAAAGTGGAATATTTCGTACATTTTAGAAATGAGCTTTATAAGAACCTTCATGTATAAGATATGTGTCGTCTAGTTTTTAGAAACTGTGATGCGACACTCAAAATCGATATTTATCGCTTTTTGGATGTTAGGAGTTATCGACTTTTATTTTGACTAATTGCTTTAATATAAATTGACTAATTATATAAATTTATATTTATCGCAAGTTAAACTTTTTTTTTAACATTTATAAAACACAAAAATTTGATGTCGCTTTCCTGTTGCTGCTTGCGACGCGAATTAACAGTTTCAATAATATGTTAATCACTTAATTCAATCAGCAATTTTCCAGTGAAAACAGGTGAAAATCGCTTCAATAATTATTTAACATTTGCATAATCTGGCGCTGAGTTCTAATCCGCAAAGCAGCCGCAGTTGTGATTAAAGAGCTTGCGGCCTTGTGTCAATTTTGCGGGCGTTAAACTTCAGTCAACAACAAATTGTCCTCGAAAATATGTACTACATGGCGTATGCGCAACATTTTCAATTAAAACAGCAAAACGCTGTTTGCAATCAGAACACTCTGTAATTTCCCCCATTCAATCCCGACCCTCCAAAACCCCATTAATAAAGTTAGAGGGTGTCTGCAGCGTGTGTGTGTGCACTTGCTAATTGCGTTAATTCGAAACCAAAATAAACCCCTTCCCAGAATTCGCTAACCCGCAAGTGTGCAGTCAACTTGTGCGTCACTGCAAAACATAAGTATAAAGAGTACTTGCGGCTTGCCAAGAGGATAAGAAGAAGCAGCCGCTTGTGATGGATGTAATGAAGTGACTTCTCATTGTAGATGGGCAAAACTCGACTTTCATGGAGCACGAAAAGCAAGATCTTCAAAAGACGTCACATTCAATTTGATTCCATCTTGCTCCAAATTATTTTTCAGAATCTTCAACCATTGTCACGAAATCACGAAGCAGTTTAAAAGAAAAGTCTGGGTATATATACATTTGAATCCTATCTTAAAGCCCAGAAAATTGCATAAAGGTTGGAAAGTAAATACAGAAGTTATTTAAGAATGAGTTTTTTAGGGTGTCGGGCTGGGGAAGGAAATGTCGTTGGTTCGAACCACGGTTCGAGTCAATGCCGCGATTGTTGAAGCATGAAGTTTGGGATTCGAATCCCCAGAAACAAAAATAAATGAATATAGTAACAAACCAGAAACATTTTATTTCTTAAACCCAATCAGATGGTAAGTCAAGACGAAGTCTTCGACTTTTTAACACGAATGCGAATAAGAGACAGGAATTTCCTGTGTAACCGCACTTCGCAGAAGACAGCTACATTTTTCTGGAAAAACATTCGACGAAGTATTGGCAAGAACTATTCTGTCGCCCCCACGTTTTAGCTGATCTGGAACAATAGCTATGCTAACCTATTCACATCTAGCAGACACAAGTTCCCGCTCAGTCGTGTCACGTGTGAGAAAACACGAGTTACGCTCATCGCAATTAGCCGTTACGCTGCAAAAACAATTAAGTCAATTCTCAATTAGACACATATGTACATGTGTACACACATACAAACATAATTTGCCAACAGCTAAATACACTTAATCAACGCAAATTCAATCAAATTACGACGCTTTCGAGCAACAAACGTGCCCCCTGCGCCCAACTTTCCCCCCTTACCCATCAGGCTCCCTTCTTGCAAGTGTTGTGCGAAAAAGTTGTCCTCATCATTGCGATTGTCGTGTAGTTGAGGCAAGAGCTGCTGCTGCTGCTTGCCACATCACTTGCCACATTTCATGGCAGGGTTCAGAGTGTCTAAAAGTGACTTCTAGTCAAGTGTAGTTATAGTTGTCAACTAGATGCTGTGTGTAAGTGTGCGAGTGTGTGTGTGTGTGGCAGGCGAAAAGCCTGCAATGCAGATGAGTTTGTGGCAAGCAGCAGCAGTTGGAGCTGTAAATGTAGAAGCTTGAGCGGCAGAAAAGTCAATAATAATCATTGTTATTAATTTAGGTGCGCGTGTGTGTGGGTGTGTGTGTGTGTGTGTGTTTGCTCTACCCTAAGAAGCACTCTAACTATGCAACTAACTTCAAACTGCTAGCAATAAGTCAACACGAGCAACAGTCAACAAAAGCCAGTAAAACTATTTTGGCTAGCAACTGTTCGTCAAAAAATACCCTGTAAAACGGATGGCAAGTCCCAAGTAACTCAGATGTTTGCAATGCAATTGTTACGAAAATATCAGAATAGTTGAATTACATGCTTAAGTAAGCGTATACAACATTTCAATATAATATCTTGCTAATTGTTGTCAATATTGCATTTTATTTGTTTGGGGGGCGAAAGGAAATCGGTGGCAAATGCTCTTGAAATGATGTTCAACTAGAAATTCGATGACCTAACGAGCTTGTTTAGATTTCAGTGAAGTTTTCTGCATAATGGACTTACTGGATGACATGTCGTGGACTTCACTTTGTATCATAATAATAATAATAATACTTTTGCAACAGAATCCGTAGAAAATGTCTGTTGATATTAAATCTAGAGTAATTTTAGATATTTCACCCTAAGTGTTAAGATATAATTTTGAAATCAATAGGATGCAAGTCAAGAAATAGTTAGTTTGTTTCCAATAATCGACAACTTTCTCCGTTTCCAAGAAATCGATAAAAATCGATATTGCGTTTTGTGTTTTCAGCAAAGCTCTTAGCTTTTACGAGTTAACCAAAGAGTAAGTACGAGAGTAACCAAACTTGACATGAAGCTTCTGGAATAGGATATGTGTATCATGTATGTTTCAGTTTAAAGCTAATGCCACGCTCCTCTGTCGAAACATAGCTATAGATCCAATAAAGAAATACTTGTTATTTATATTAAATGAAGAATATGAATAA